GGAAAAAAAAAAAAAAAAAAAAAAAAAAAAAAAAAAAAAAAAAAAAAAAAAGGGAAAAGCGATGCACATACGCAGCTTAAACAAGAATGTGTGCCCTAGACCAGTGGTTCCCAACCTTTTTTTGACGCATGTTCCCCTTTAGGCATTTTGTCTCACTATGAGTTCCTGATGATTGTCCAAAAGTGGAACGTACAATAACTCATAATAAAATAAAAAAATTGTATCTTTTGAGCATTTAATTCTTTGGCATTTTAACCTTTCAATCTCAAATAAAATAAAAAAATAAAAAACAAATATGTTGCCTTGAAGTTAGTAAGGAATCGAAATAAATACAAAATAAAAACATATTATAAATCTGTATTTATAAAACTGGAGCTCCTCTGAGTAACTCTGTTATAGTCAGATTTAAATTTGATGAATTTGGAACAAAAATTATAGACAGACCCAATTAATTTTTTGTTTTCAGCAAGACACCTGAGCTGCTTTGATGAGCTCCGATAGATCAGTGAAAAACCGCTGATACCAGGCTGTTCTCTACATCCAATCTGTTCTTCTGCTTGGTTTTGATGCGTGAGAAAAACTTGTGTAATTGTCCAACTGAGTCCTCACAAACCAAGGTAGATCACAGATCCATTTTATTCTACTACCTAAGAAATTAAACATTTTCATGTACCCCTTGCAATGCACTTACGGACCACTAGGGGTACGAGTTCCCCCGGTTGGGAATCACTGCTCTGACAAATAAACCAACTTAACCTGTGTGCATACTGGTGTATTCAACACTGCCTTTAAGGATAGACCTTGAATGAAAAATTTAAAGCTTCATATTTTTACTTTAAAAGAGAGTATGAAAAAAAAAAATCAACTTTTAAAAGTAATTATTATCCTTAGCTTCTAGAATGAAATACATAGAATTCACATGTAGGTCTTAATTGTACGACTCCACTGCCACGGCAAAAGTAATGAGGACAGCGATCTTTAGGGGGTTTTCACTAATCTGCTACAGTATGGGCTGAGTGATAGGCTGAGACTGCTTATCTGACACTACAGTGCATGCAAGGCTGAGAGATTAAAAGAACCACTGCAACAACTGCTGCAGAGACGGCGCCACAGGAGGGGACAACAGTATGACCATGCAGATGTTCCAATTATCAGCTGAGAAAGGGTGTGTTTTGCTCCAAGAATGATCCAATGATATCGGACCACAAATCCAGACAATGTTCTAAATGTGTAATGACTTAATAAACATTAACAGCTGCTGTGTAGCAGGACGCCATGTTGGTGAGGGCGTGACGTAAAGATGTGTTGAGCCAGAGTATCGGGACGCGTAGCAAGCTCAGTCACTCACAGAGGCTGAAAGTCACTTATGATGGACAAGTTTTATGCTGTAGGCAAAACCACTCCTCAAAGGAGGTTTAATATTTAGATCAAAATTGCATCTTTACTTGGGGTCTATGTCATTTTCTCTAAATTATGACATTTTGTAAGGAAACATTGTTACATCTCTGCAGAAGGAGACTGAACCCTCAATTTTTCCATGGAAGATCTAAGTGAAGAAAAACAAGAATAAGTGATCAACAGGCAGACAAAGTCCACTTTAGAAGGCCTTCTTCTCCAGCCGGTCCAGAATGGCCTGAATTCTCTGTACGGCCTCTTTGCGGGCCTGTCGAACACCGTCCTGTCCCTGAGTCTCCACAGAGTCCAGCTCCAGCAGCTCTTTGGTCAGCAGTTCCTCCAGATACCGGTAACTCTTGTCTGTTTTTCTCCCAACAAACTCATCCACGTCTTCCTGAAGCAGCTGAACCCTGGCCATGACCTGCTGGACCTTAGCAAGCCCAGGGTTGTCGCTCAGAGGCTGAGGTGCAGCCTGAGCAGCCGCTGGTTGGGGATCAGTTTGAGAAGGATTGGGATCACTTCGCCCGGCTTTGCTGTAAATCTGGGGAGGAGAACTTATTTCAGCAGGTTTTCCGTTGGGGGGATTTGGAGAGGGTGCTGGCCTGGGTTTAGGTTCCACCTGAGGGTTTCGCTGGTGCTCCTAAAAAAAGAAAAAATAATAATTTTTACATTTGACTTGTGCCTTTAATGCAAAATTAAACAAAAGAATAAAGTATTTAATAAGAATTCACCTTTTCTTATATAACAAAAGCAAACTTTATTGCATTCTGTTGGGATTTTATCCGATAACATCAAATTGCACAGATTCGTTTTTTTGGCAAATAGAATCCTGAAAAGTCTGATCCATATTAGGCCCATGTGAGTCAAATGTTTGTAGAAACTTCTACTAGTGAATGATTCTACCAGCTCTGCATATCTAGGGACTAAAATTTGTGAAATATCTGTAAAATTGAAAGCTGAGTTCAATTGAATGGAGGTAAATTATGAAAAACAGTTTTCAAATCTTGTAAAAGATTTCCAGCTGAATTTGGGTCTGAGGTTTGTACCAATCCAAACCGCTTAACTGTAGCTCAGTCTGGAAGATGAACTACTGGTTGTCTCGCAGTACTGCCCTGCTCAATATTGAAGTGTAGTCTGCGATATGTTTATTCCACGCCACAATGCAAAAGGGGAAAAATCTCCAATCAGAGTCCTTCTGTCTGCGGTCACCTACAATTTGGGAGAGGTGCAGCAGAGTGTCTGCGGAGGGTGCGGGGACATCTCTGCGTTCACCGCGACACCTAGTTTTGAAGTATAAATCAGCCTTTAGTCTTCATCATGCTATGGGTTCAATTCTAATCTCTAACAAACCTAAGAGGACTTAAGAAACTCAGCTGCACTGGACTTTATGAAGGGATATTGGAGAAGTGGTATCCGAATAGAAATTATGAACACCATTTTCAGATTTGTATGTATAAAAATAATTAAAAAACGACACTTTCTAAAGAGATGCAGCAGCATCTCTTAGCACGTTACCCTATAAAATCCCAATAAAAAACACCAATATTTGTGGATGTAATGTCAAAAAGAGTAAATAATTATGCAGGCATTGCATGCACTTATGAAAGTCAACTTCACATATCCAGACCTTCGGCTGATAAGGAGGTGGAGCACCGGTTCCTGTTCCTGGCCATGCTGGAGGGTGTGCAGGGCGGACATAGTGGTTTTGTGAGGGCGGCTGCCCTTGGTGCCACTGCTGCTGAGAGGGAGCGTATGGAGCCGTGTGCCCCCAGGCATCGCCCTGAGGGCTGGGATGATGAATAGGCTGCCCGGTAGGATATGGAGGATTGGGAGGCACCGCATGTCCACCTTCACTGTAGTGTGGGTAGGGTCCAGATGGGTATCCAGGACCCTGAGAAAACAGACGATACAATATTGTTTTTAACTATCATTTCAGAGTTGTTTGGATGAACACATCAGTATTAAATAGACCGGGGTGGGCAATTCCAGTTCCTGAGGGCTGGTATCCTGCAGGTTTTACATCCTTTCTTTATCAAACACACCTGAAGCAAATGGCTTAGTTACCTCCTCAGTATGCAGTCAGTTCCTCACAAGTCCTCTCAATCAACTAATAACTTGATTCAGGTGTGTTTAACCAAAGGCACATCTAAAAATTGAAGGATACCGGCCCCCAGGAACTGGAATTGCCCACCCTGAAAATAGGCTGAATTTCCTAGGAAGAGTCAAAACAAGCCTCACTTCCTACTAGCATCCTTAAACCATTCAACAAAGCTGCTGTAGGGAGCGAGAGGACAGACTAGACCTCAGTTATAAAGACCACCTGCAACATGGCGGACTCCTCAAGCTGTTAAAAAGCTCAACTGCAGTTAAGATCATACACTTTTTATTTTTAACTCTTAGTTTTTAATTACTTTCCTCACAAATCTGTTACAAATTTAGGAGAAATACTGTCACTGTTTTGGTTGTTGCCCTTTACAGAATAATAAAACCAAAGCAGATCTGAGTCAAGTTATGCATTTCATTCAAAATTGCATTTTACCCCTTGACATTGTGGACCAGAATAATGATGATGATGCTGAGTGTGTGGTTGCCCAGGAGGCGCAGCACTCTGATCAGCCGGACAGCCTTGGTTTGGGTAGGAGCTCCTTGGAGGGTCAGCACAGTAGAACGGGTTGGATGGATGGAAACCCCCTGCTGGATATTGGTTTTGTCCAGCACTGTAGACTCCATGACCATTAGGATATCCTCCAGGCATCACCTTGGACCAAAGCAAAGGGGTTTAACTATTCATCTGTACAAATGCACTGCTAGAGAGATGTTAACGTGGGATAAAGTTGGAGAAAAGAAAAAGAATACCAGAAAGTCTAAAGCAAAGTAAATATCAACTGGTCTGGACTAGAGGAACAGGTTATGCTGCATAGTGAGACTTACCTGTGGATTGTACTGTGGCTGAACATCTGACCCAGAGCCATATGCGTTTGTATAGTGGCCAGAGGACTGAGACTGTGGATACCAGTAATGTGAAGGGTAACCTGGATACTGGGAAGCATCCTGTAAAGACAATAAAAACAAACAAAAGGAAATTCTTTTAAAGTTTAACAGCCTTGGTTGTTATAATCTGAGTGCCCTCTTAAACAAACAACATCTAATCGCAGTTAATCAATTATTGCGCTTCCTAAACCCTTTTTACGATGCAGCTACATTTATACTAGACTACGCTAACTTTATCAGTTTACTTGCTTCCTGCCAGATGCCATTTTCCACTATACGCACGCTGAATATGATAAATAAAAATAGCAGGAACAATAACAGCTTAACAGACAGGCTAGTTGTAACTATTACATAATGCAAGCTAGCTGTGTTAGCCTTGTAGCTAACGGCTTTCTACGTAAGCCACTACGGTATGATTTATACACTGTTTTACCACATATTTTCTTGATAAATAAAACGGTGCATTACATTTTCAATAGCAGGTCTGGTTATTCTAACCTTTTTCATTCACTCACCATGGCGGTGTTCCAGTTTCCTTGGTTATTTCCCGAGTTAGAAGTCGCGGGCCAGTCAGGTTTCAGATTTGACTGCATTTGATGGGGAGGAATTAGCTACGCGTGTTTCCCGGCAGCCGTCCCGTCATCTGTCATTATAAAGAGAAAAACCTTAAACTTGTTCACCGATACTTGTTTAATCCCCCGGCATTACCGGAGTGGTTTCTTATCAGAAGTATGGGTCAGGAGACTGACGCCAGGAAGCAGTTATATCCAGGCGGAACTAAGGGAAATGCTGCACTGTCTCTTTAAAGAAAAGATAACAAAATGTCAAGATGTCTCACTCAGTCTCATTCTTATGGCATAGTAAATATTGTTTTGACAGTATAATTTGTAATTATTAATGTTCTATATTGTTCATGTATGTTTTTTTGTTTTGTTTTTTTTTGCAATCAAAAATAAGATATATATCTTTTTGACAACGTGATCGGCTCTGTACGGAGAAGGATTAGGGACACTGAAAAATAAAAAAAAGGTTAACTGATTTTTTTTTAACTTTTAGTTCAGTATAATATGTCAAAAAAGTCAGAATTCTAAGTTTAAAGTGACTTTAAACTTAGAATTTTGACTTTTTTCTCAGAATTCTGACTTTAATCTCAGAATTCTGACCTTTTTCTCATAATTCTGACTTTAATCTCAGAATTCTGACATTAATCTCAGAATGTTGACTTTAATCTCAGAATTCTGACTTTTTTTTTCTCAAAATGCTGACTTTAAAGCCAGACAGACAAGCTCTGAGCCAACTACCACGTCAGAGGATGAGCACATCCAGCCAGTCACAGTCAGATAAATAGGATTACACTGGAAAAACAGGCCGATCTCAAACATCTGTAAACAAATGTGTTGATGGCAGTTCCACATATTTCTGGTATTTCTCTCCAGGATGGTGTCACAGCCAAACAGGAACAGACAAGACAAAGCTACTTTGAGAAAAAGCAGAGAGAGCAGAACGTTAGAGATTAAACTAACAGATTCTGCAGAGTGGGGAATAGAGATAGAATGAAGCAGAATAATGAAATAGGGGTCCCTTAGTCTAAGCCTATAGCAGCATAACTATAGAGATAGCTCAGGATAACCTGAGTCCCTCTAACTATACGCTTTACCAGAAAGGAAAGTTTTAAGCCTACCCTTAAAAGTAGAAAAAGGTGTGTGCCTCAAGGACTAAAACTGGTAGTTAGTTCCTCAGGAGAGGAGCCTTATAACTAAAGGATCTGCCTCCCATTCTATTTTTAGAAATTCTAGGAGCCTACAGTTACTAAAGTTGGATATTGGAGGGATAAAACTGCCGGAAATCTGTTTGTATACTGAAGCATTGAACATTTCTTTTTTTTAGCTATATAAAACTAGAACTAGAGCTTAAGTTCTGAAAAAAAAAACAGTCCCCTGACATAGTTGCTCCCATAAAACAAAACATTCAGATAAGTGCTTTTTTTTAATGTTTTTTTTTGTTTGTTTTTTTTCTTACAGTTGTCAACCATGTTCTCTTTCTTTGAATAGCTAGAAGCAGATATAGGATTCCCCATTCCAGATAAAATGTTTCAAATGCCCTTGTGTGCAGTGGTTGGGTTGTTTGCACTTGTCATTGCACTCTATGCACTATGCTTGAGCTAACATGGAGTGCACATAAAGTTTACAGATTTGTAGTAGCTATTGACTTTGAGCACTATGGGCTCAGCCCCTACTGAACCCACTCTAGGATTTTATTAGACTTGCCATGTTATGGCTGAGTTGATGTTCTTCTCTTTCCCTCCCAGTAGTTTTGTTTGTGTCCTTTCATTTGCTCCCATATTCAGGGGTCATCGCGGCAGGTCATTATAACTTCCTCTGACATGACAACGTTTTTACACCAAAACCCTACCTGGCCAACCTGATTTGATGGTTATGTAGCTGTAATAGCAAATGCCTTGTACTCAGTCAGTACAACAAAGTGATTCACTAAGCTTATAAAAGTGGAACACGTGTTTACATTTGTCAGTAAGATCTGTATATTTGTTTGTTAACAAAATATTCCAATAAAAAAAAGTAAGCCCTCCCCTATGACTTAAAAAGGTTGGTGACTCATATCCTACACAAACCAGCAGAAATGGTAGCAATTATAATAAGCTTAGAATGGGTAGAGGAGGTTAGACCAGACAGGGTGGTGGTCTATACTGATTCCCAACAGTTTTTCGAAAGTATTCAGGTAGAAGGAAATTATAGAAAAGATTTAGTATTAGAAATCCAGCACAGCCTATTTAATTATATAGGGGTGGCATTGATATTTGGTTATGTTGGGTTCCAGAACATGAAGGTGTAAAAGGCAATGAAAAAGCAGATATATTAGCAAAAAGGGCTTTAGAGGGAACAATAGCAATTACAATTCCTTTTAGGAAAGGGGAAGGAAAATCTCTAATAAGAGTTAAGAAATGGAATAATGGCAAAAGAGGTGGAATGAAGATAAGAAAGGAAGAGGATTGTATAAGGTGCAAAAATCAATATTAAATAGAATCATTAATGAGAGAAACAGAAGGGAAGAAGTAATAATCATCAGATTAAGAGTGGGTCATACCTATTTAAATGACAATTTATATCTAATAGGGAGGAAAAATAATGATAAATGTGAAGGATGTGGAGAAAAAGAAAATGTAGAACATGTACTGATGAACTGTAAAACTTATGGACATAAAATGGAGAAATTGAGAAGAATGGTTGGAAGGACATGCCAAGAATGGATTCTTAAAGGAATATTGGGAAATGAAGGAAATATAAAGGATATTCACAGATTAAGGAAAGCATTATTTATTTATCTATAGAATAAAAAAAAAAAAAAAATAGAACTTGATGTAAAGTTATGTTGCTACACTCCCATACAGTAGGTGGCGGTATGCACCTTAAGGTTGTTTGCGATCCGCCATAATAGAAAAGAAGAAGTCCTACACAAACTCCTCACCACTTGGTGGCGGTATAGTGCAACAAATAGCTCTTTGTCAACCAGCATTAGACACGAGCAAGAAGCAGCAGCAGGAGACACTTCCTGCACTGATGTTAAGAGCATTATATTTCCAAATATTAATGGCTTGACAGTAAATAAGTGTGCTGGAAGTGAACAAACTGAAGCTCAACATGAACTACGTACCAGGGACCGCTAGCCTCATTGACGACATCGATAGTAAGCTGGAAGCATCGGCTCCCCTTTCATGAGCACAAAACATTCATTGGAAGAGTTAATTTCTACTGAGACTTTAAATACCCATATTTAAAACATATATAATTTAAATTAATGGTGTTTATGTCTGGTTTTACTTTGCAGAAAAGCACCTGGTGCTGCTCCGAGATGGCAGAACTCTGATTGGTTACCTCAGAAGCATCGATCAGTTTGGTACAGCCTCTTAAAGATCAATGAAATTAACCATTTATTAAAAATAGTTTGATTTTCACAGGTAGTTTATGGTTTTAGTTGTTTCTTTCATGCATCCTGTTTCCGTTTCACAGCCAATTTAGTGTTTCACCAGACGGTGGAGCGAATCCACGTGGGGAAAAAGTTTGGCGACATCCCGAGAGGAATTTTCATCGTGAGAGGAGAAAATGTGGTGTTGCTTGGAGAGATGGTCAGTATGACATTCTCACTCTGCGTTTGATATGGAAAGGAGGGAAATAAGAGTTCAGCAACTCCTCTACATGGCTAATACAAGGAGCCCAGTCAGTCAAATCACTTTTTTTATTTAAGTTGATGAAAATTAAGTGGTCATATTTCAAAATATAAATGTAAGAGTGCTAATATTCTTGACTATCAGAAAATACACTGAATTATTTAAGTTTTGGGTTGCACCTGAGCAGTACACACATTTGTTACTTAAGTAGAAGTATAGATACTGCAGTTTAAAAACACTCTGGTACAAGTTGAAGTATCAACTTGACCTCTTTACTCAAGTAAAAATGACAAAGTATGTGCTCCAAAAACTAAAGTATAAAGTAACCTTCAAAAAAAAAAAAAAAAGCCACTATATGAATTGAAAGCTCAATCTTTCGACTATTTTTAAATATTATTTGAGATAGGGCCAAGGATGAGGGATGTCTAATTGGTCTCCATCTCCTGATCTGATGCTTTCGCCTGTGTCCGACCTTTCAAACATTTCAACATCTTTTTCTGAATCCAACATTTTAGCATGGCATAGACCAGGCATTTCCAAAAGTCGGTCCTTGAGGGCCACTGTCCTGCAGGTTTTAGAAGTTTCCCTGCTTTAGCACAGCTGATTCTGATGACTGCAGTTCAGCAAAAGCCTGTTAATCAACTATCAATGTAAATCAGCTGTGCTGGAGCAGAGAAACCTCTAAAACCTGCAGGACAGTGGCCCTCGAGGACTGACTTTGGGGATGCCTGGCATAGACAATTCACGTTTGAAGAACACCTGCTTGCATCTGATGATTTCCTTTAGCTAACCAATGAATGTTTGTGTTATATGACTCATCCAAATACACTAGTTTTCACTAGATGTGAATGGCGCCAATGATCTGCATTGGGTGGCGAACATGACGTGAAATAAATTTTTATATTCTTTAAACCGAAGCCACGAGTAACGTTTGTTTTAAAAATGTAAGGAATAGAAAGTACAGATACTTGTGTGAAAATGTAATGAGTAGAAGTCAAAAATAGGAGGAAAAATAAGAAATGGAGTAAAGTATAAATACCTAGAAAGTGTACTTAAGTACAGTAACAAACTATTTGTATTTCATTACTTGACACCTCTGCACCTGATGGTTATTTAGCAAATCAATTAATCTGTCTCTTTATTTAATTTCTATTCAGTTAATCCATTAATAATCAGATAGTCAAAGGTTCCTTAAAATTAAACAAGCTGAAACTAGAACTTTTCCACTTGAGGAGTTCTGGATAGAGCATATTGACAGCAGGGCTAAAACGATCGGATCATTAATAATCGTTTATTGAAAATAATCAACTAATTTAGTAATTGATTAATCATTAAATGTAGTATACAGACTCTAAAATGTGCCTTTAGCTGACAGAGCGGCTCACTTAGAGCAGTAAATAAACCAAAATTGTAAAAAAAAAAAAGTGTAAACGTTTTGTTCTCGCCTGTCAATATGCACTATGTGGAAAAGCTTCATTTTCACTTGGTTTAATTTCGCAGAAAGTTTTCTTAAAGGAACCTTTTGCTGTCCGATTATTAATTGTAAAAAATAATTGACAGATTCATGGATTTGCAAAATAATCGTCAGAATAGTCAGTTACAGCCCGTAATTGACAGATGAAAACAATTTTTTTTATCTCGAATGCAAAATGTTTACATATTTTTTTTTTCCACAATTTTTGCTATAATTACTGCTCTAAGTGGGTTGCTCTGTAAGCTAAAGGCGTGTTTTAGAGTCTCTATACTCCATCTAAGGATTAATCGATTACTAAATTAGTTGATGATAATTTCAAAAGTTGATTAATCTGATTAATTATTTCAGCCTTATTTAAGTTCAATTTTAGACTTCTATTGCAAATGTGGTGCATCTTAAAATAGTCTTAAGAGGAAACGGAGATTTATAAACGGAATTGAAAAACTTTTTTGTGTTTTTCTTTTTTTTTTTTTTTTTTGGTTGCCAAAATTATAATTTTCACATCAGTGAACTTTAAAATTAAAGTTTTACCATGATCATTTATGTATATATTTTTTTAAATTAAGGCAGGTATTTCAGATTAAATTCAATTATTTTTATATCTCCACCAGGTAAGCTTTGATGTTATTTATTTCAGTTTTCCAGATATACGACTTAAGATATTTCTCTTATAGTTCATTATGTGTAGAGTATCATAAAAAGAGTTACAAAAGGTTTAATCTAAAGCATCCCAATGAATACCGGTTTTGTTGGACCAACACTTTTACACATTGACCAGCAAATTCAGGAAAAAGGAAAAGGGGGAAAAAATGGTGTTGGGTGACATCCTGGGTATTTTCTCCTTCTCTTCAGGAGCTCTTAAAGCGGCCTTTTTGGGGTTTTTTTTGTAGAAAAATAAAATTGTCTGTTTGGGACAGCGTTTCATGTTATAATTTAGTTGAAAAATTGCAGCTATAGTTTCGTATACATTCATTTTTTAATGTATATAATATTTTCAAAAACTGCGATATGCATAAATAAGCATAATGCAATACGTTTTTTTTATTTTTATTTTTTATTTAGACCAAAGATAGCTTCATGTTTTCCAACATGTTTCCACGTAAAATTCATGGTTTACTGTTGGTGTGTTGATAGTTTCATCATAATTCTGTTACAGATTCCTTCTTACTTTAAAACATAGTGGAAAAACAAAACGGCAAAAAAGAGGAAACTTTTAAAAACAGCAAATGGTTGAGATTAATTCTAATCTTTGGTATGTTGACCCGCACGCTTAGGCGTTACCCCACACTGCAGAGACAGTCGACCTCCATGGATAACACACAGAGATGAGTCATCGAGCCAAACTCCTGTCTCTCTGTAAACATACATCATGTAATTAGTCCAAAATTGTGCTGGCATTAGTACAGTGTGTTCTATTACAGTGACATCAGGCTGCTTTTTATGACCGTCTATGTTTGTAGGATTAGCATTTTAGCAGCCCTGGTAAAGATATGTAAAAAGCCTTAAAATCAATTTGTATTTACTATTTTTATTGCAGTCATATGATCTCACTCTAAAATTGTAGAATATGTTACCTGTTGTTTTAGTACATTTATTCAGTCCGGATTTTATCCTAGACTGAGAAAAATTTGTTTGTTTTGAGATAATCACAATTTTCACTCGGGAAAAATTCCTTTAAGAGTAAGTAAAGTATTTATTTTTTACCCTTAGCTTTTTTTATTTTGATCAGGTGTCAAAGATCACTCTTTTTCTTTAATGTCAAAATAATCAATTATTACATATAATGGCGTATATATTTTGTTATTCAAAGTGGGAAAGAGGAAAAAAAACAAGCTTTTTAAGTGATACAGATGTTAGTTTGTCTTCATAGATCTGAAAATATCTATAAGAAAAAAAAATATTTTGGGCTAAAAATTAGGAAGATGCAAAATCAGGAAATCTCATGGTAGATCAGGAAAACTGGTTGTCTGGGAATTCCACTGGAGGGCCATCTTTTAATCATTTATTTTACAAAAACGAAAATTTACATGTTGTGTTTGTACAATATAGATAAATTATTTGCCTATGAGTACCAGAGCTGTTTGCTCCACAAAAATGATATCCAAAGATGGGATCCTAATAGCAAAATGTATTAAAATGAAATAAATACTGGATCTGGCATAAAAGGATTTAGGCCTCTTTTTATAATAGTAAAGTGTTAGAACAGTTGGGTTATATGCATGCATAGGAGAAACTGTTAAAACCAGAACCCAATGGGCTCTATGCACAACTCCACTATGTCCTGAATTTGAGGCAGCTCTTTGTTTCCCGTCTTTCATTAATGGATGGACTGATTAATCCACATGTGTCTGGATCAATTCATCCAGTTGAAAAAGACAGGAAACAAAAGAGCTGCCTTTAGTTCAGGGAGTAGTGCATTTGTGCTCATTGTGGAAGGTCTGAGCATTTCTAAGCAACAGATACAAAGCAGCAACCCAGGGAAGCAATAGGCCCATAAGTGGTATTCAGTTCATTTTTGTAGGCTTTCTTCTCTTCCAGAAGCTGCTTATATATATATATATATATATATATATATATATATATATGAAATTCGAAAAGTAAAATTCTTCTATTTCACAACAGATCTCAATATAATTTTGTCATCGAGTCTCTGAACAGGAGAACGATCCAATACACCTGGGCAAACAACTCATCAATGAATCAGGAGATACAAAAATCATCCTATCAGTCACCAACCCATAAAAAAAAACGTAAAAAAGCAAAATGCTGCGTTGGTGAGCAGAGAGTAAGAAAGAGGACCCTGAAGTCTGTTGACTTAAAGATATGCAAAGAGGAATAATAAAAATGTATCTGATTCCTTCAATTGATGTCTTAAAGAAGTTTTACACAGTATAACCAGCAGGGGGCGCTAATAAGTAAAAGTTTAAGCTTTTATTTTAGGTTTATGCTGCTCCAATAAGATTCATCCATTTTTAATGACTTTTACACATCCTAATAAGCGGTTTTGGCAAACGTGGAGGCTGTTTTTACAGGTCCAGTTCAATGTATTGGCTGTTTACGCCTAGGATCAAAGGTATGAATGTGGTATAAACATTATCATTCCTTTAAGTTTGGCTGATCGTTCAGTCCGTTTTCAGTTTAGCACCACTCCTTATTACTGATTAAAAACACGGATCAGTGGTGGTGATGTCGATTATTGGCAACACCCATTTATGAAATCTGAGATGTCAAGCAGTTGGGAGCAATTTTTTAAAGAAAATAACTTTTAGCGGGTACTCTGCAAAGCCGCTTGTTTAATAAATAAAGCAGAGTTAAAACCTGGGGCTTTGTCTCCCTGCAGGACGTGGACAAACCCTGTGACACCATCCTGCAGCAGGTCTCCATTGAGGAGATCCTGGAGGAGCAGCGGCTGCAGCAGCAGGCCAAACAGGAGACGGAAAAAGTGAAGATGCAGGTCCTGAAGGATCGAGGCCTATCCATTCCCAAAGCGGATAATTTGGACGAGTACTAAAACACCTTTTTTTTTTTTTTTTGTCTCTTGTAAACCTCTCTCCGTTTGTATCGGACTGATAACTTGTACTTTTGATCCGATTGTGTTTTGTTTTGGGTTCTTTGTGCAGATCTGTCATTTTGGATCCATTTACTGTACTGGTCAAATTTATTTTCAAGTATTTTGAGAAAAACAAGTGTTTGCCGGCTTTTCAAGATCATATAAGCAAAGTATAAAAATGTATTTTTTTCTGAATTACTGGTAGTAGTTTTAAGTTTACAAAAGCACTTTTTATTTTGTCAGAATGTGATGAGCTATCATGTTTAAGGATGTCTGCTCATGACGAGCACTACTCAAATAAAAGAATTAGTTTGTCATTATCAGAGCTGATATTACATTTCTCTATTTATAGTGTATTTATTTATAGAACATCTCATCTTGTGACTTGATAGCATAACAAACTGGATGTACCCTTCAGGCTGCAGAGTTACTACCTTTATGGGACTACAACAAAAGGCATCATTCACTATGGTAATTGGATTAAAGGGTATCGGTGGATCAGACAGCCTGTGTCCTGTTAGAGATCAGGGCGCGTCCGCACTGATTGATCTTATCTGCCCTCGTCAGTCAATAATAATTCCGATAATTATTTAGACTGATGATCATGAATCCGAGCTGCTGTAAGGGAGACCGCTGTAAAACCAATTACTGCTGCTGCCACATGGACTTGCCTTCTTCCGCTGTTCGATATATTTAATGACATCAGTATAACTTGTTACAATGAGGGGGGGGGACAGTTTCCTCGGGGATTCCAAGCAGGTTCATGTCATCTGCACTCTGAAATGAAAGCTATCAAATCTGCATAAAATAACAGGCTTCTACAAAATCTGTTCAATAGAAAGGAAAAACAGTTTTTAACCAGCAATACTGCTGAAGTCTGTGCATTTATAGTTTATTTACTCCTGTTATTGTGCTCTTCTTATTGGTGAGACGTAATGTTTGCCCTGCAGACAGACTCTGCTGTTGGTGCTGTGGATCTCTGCAGCTCCTCCACAGTGACCACGCACACCTTGTTTTTAGTTCCTTTTTTCTATCCACTTCCTGCAGGTTATGCGCAGTGCTGTGCTCTAATTCAGTGTACCTGCATCTAATGGCTGGAGAAGTAACACCTTTTAGGGGATCCCGTCCAGCCAAAAGCTGACATATGTTAAAATGGAATTACAATAAGGTTTAAGATTAGGAAATATGTCCACCAGGATCTGTTTAGAAAGATGGGCTAATCTAAAGAGCTGAGTTTAACAGACCTAAGCAGTATGATGCTCTGCAAGTCTTGCTAATAATTAATTTTGATTTGTGTTGAGACAGATGGACATCTAATGGCTGCAGGAAGTGGTCTGAAACTTTTTAGAGCTGCTTCATACGGATATAACGTTTTGTGAGACGCTGGATGCCAGTTCTGACTTGAGCCCCAACCTGTCTGCTGTGTTTATGTTACTGTCTAAGGAACCCTATGAGATCTTCAAAGGAAATATAGATTTTATAGAAGGTTAAATTACACAGGATATGTGAAGAAGACAGTTAAGGGAGCACGTCTTTGGTTTATATGTAAGAGATTAAAATTATTGTAGATATTTTTCTAATTTACAGCTCTGTTCTTCTCTGCTTTGTGTTGATGTAACACCTAAGATTACAATACATTACATTTAAAACTTAGCTATAAAGAAAAAAAGCAAATAAGAATCTTAAGATGATTTTTGTATTAATGCAAGAATGTAGTTCAAATTTCAATGTAAAATTATTTTACAGATTATTTGAACTAAATCTATTCAGATGGCCCCATCCCCGTTAAGACCAGGCTAAAACCGTAGCCTGACATGTGAAACCAACAAAGGAAATAGCCGGAAGTCATGGCTGAAAGCCCCTGGTTCTTAATCATTCCTTTATGTCTTCAGAAATTACATTTCAAAAGATCAATAAAAGTTTTAACAAACCAATATGAGAGGAAAATGACTCCTAATCACTTGGCTGTTTTTCATTTGATGTAATCCATCAAACGCATGTAGTCGATAGAGCGATATACATTAAACCAAAAATTTTGGGTGTTTTTGGTCAACGCATCACTACCATCTCTACTGGGAAAACTCGTTATTCCTCCCTGTTTGAAAAAACAAAGTTTAAAAATATGTTTTATCTGCTCTGAAATGTTTTTTCTGGGTTCAATTTTAGGTTGAGGAAAATAGCCTCAGACCATCTTTACATGTTCTTTCCTAAACCCTAATTTACAGTGAATTATTTATATCTTTTTAATTTACAATAAAATGAATCTCTTAATTTGACCAGTATGCCAAGCCTGCCTACGGTCCAGTAGTAGAAAAATGGAAATTCTTTAAATTTTTTAACCAATCCACAGAACATGCAGATCATTATTTCCATTGAGCTTTTCAATATGGCCGACCCTGCAGAGGACAGAGAAATGAGCTAATCGGAGACCCTGGCCTCTGTCCAGGGTTTGTTTCAAACCGCTGCACAGCTTTCTGCATATTTTTAACAATTTATCCTCCAGTCAACTAGGTGATAAATAATTATTGGCTCCATTATTGGAAATAAACAGAACAGGTAACAATAAGCTATAAAAAATAATCTGATTTATTAGTCAAATTAAGCTACATTATACATACATAACTTACTGATTGTTCTCATCAAACGCTGCGCTGAGGCTGCAGACTTACCTCCAGTACCCAGACTTTGTAGAATGAGAGGCAGATATTTCAATCATCTTCCAATGTTTGCTGGTGAGGAACACTCACTTTCAACTATTAACACACTCAAAACATTCATTTTGATCTTTTGCACTGGATGATTTTTCTAAGAAATTTAATTTTTATTTGTTTTTCTTTATTAGCTGTAAAGCAGTGCTGTGTGTGATTAACCTATGATTTATACCCGGTTAGCTTTGTTCATAGTTGTCACTGCCATAATTTTGCATTGCATGGATTTAACATGGCTTTAGAAATATCTCCTCAAAGATGTTGGTCTATATTGACATGATCACATCAGACATTATCTGCTAATCTTTTCTCAGCACATCAACCACATCTAAAATGACAGATGTAGTGAGCTCTAAATGCACAGCCCTTTAAAATAACCACTAGGATAACAGCTTTACAATAAGTAAAAGAAAAGAAAAATAACAAGGATTTAAAATGCATTGGGAATATAAGCAACAGAAAAAGAAAAAAGAAAGTGATGTATAAAAAAAATGTTGAAGAGACCAGTTTGAGGTGATTTGAACTTTTTGTGTATGATCCTGTCGAGGGACCAAAACAAACCATCTGGCCTGGTCAGCCAGGCCAACAATTACCTTAATGACTCCCCTTTTCAGAGGCATAGGCCAGTATCTGGTTTTGCAGGCCAACAAAGACATCAATGACTCCCCATTACTAAGGGGTGGACCTGTTCTTCTGTTTCAATTTGCATGTTTTCTGATACTTAGATTTTATTTGTCATGTTGTACACACAAGTGTAAACAAAAAGAAATTTGGTTAAGTACAACTCTCTAGACAATTTCATTTTTTTTTTTAGAGTGCAGCCTTGATAAGATAAGCAGCAGTGATAAAAACATTGTGATGAAAAAAAGTGATGTAAACATATGACTGTATAGTTACAGTTCTAACATTCATTTTTTTTTTTTTTATAACCCATTTTACATAGCATTCAGCAGTCTAATGGCAGTGGGGAAGAAACTGTTCTGGAATCTGCTGGACCTGCATCGGATGCTTTGAAGCCTCTTCCCAGAGGGCAGCAGGGAGAACAGTCCGTGGTGGGGGTGTGAGGGACCATTTATGATGTTACGGGCTTGGGATATGCAGCGCTGGGATGAAATGTCTTTAATGGAGGGAAGAGGAGCCCTGATGATTCTCTCTGCTGTCCTCACCACTATTCTCACTTTCTTCCAGTCTGAGGCGCTGCAGCCTCCACACCACACAGTGAGTCAGCTGGTCAGAACGCTCTCTATGGCGCTTCTGTAGAAGGTGGGGAGGATGGGTGGGGGCAGGTGGGCTCTCCTCATCCTCTCCAGGAAGTACAAGAGCTTTTGTGCCCTTTTGACCAATGAGGTGGTATTTACAGCCCAGTTGAGGGTATCTGTGATGTGCACCCCCAGGAATTTGGTGCTGCTGACCACCTCTACAGCTGAGCTGTTGATGACCAGTGGAGCGTGGTTAGGACAGTTCTTCTTGAAGTCCAAGATGATCTCCTTCGTCTTCTCCACATTCAGGATCAGGCTGTTATCTTTGCACCAATCCACCAGCTGCTCCACCTCCTCTCTGTTGTTCTGGTCGTTGTCGTCACTGATGAGGCCCACCACCACTAAGCCATAACAAGGCTTTGTTAGGCTACTCTATAAAGCTTGGAACTCAATGCAGCGTCTTTAAAATTGGAAAACTAGTCCAGTGGTTTGTTTTGTAACTGTAAAAAATAAACAATGGAAATGAACTTATGGCAAAACCTGAATAGACACAATAAACAAAATAATGAAAAACCAAGTAAAAACCAAAAACATTATGTGGTAAAATCTTAAAAAATATTTTATTATGTCTTCTGTTAAAGATCTGTGCACTGTGTATGCACCTTGATGCTCTATCTCTCCGGTTCTTTTCCCTGAAAACTGAGATCACTCGGGACAAACTCTTTAAATAATACTTCATAACTTTTATGTGTTAAATAACCAGGAGACATGACAACAGATTCTGATAGAAATTGTAATCTTACTCAGATCTGAGAAGTTGCTTAGAGTTTACAGAAGGCAGCTGCTCACCTCTCAGGAAGTGACCCCAATTAACAGTTAAAAAGGCATTTTATACATCTCCAGTCTGCCACATAATCTTATTTTATATCATACATGTTAGCAGATGATTAGACATCCATGACTCCAGCCTTATCAAAATATTACACTTTGTTCTTAGTTGAAGGACACCAAATCTTTGCCACTTACAGAATAAAGATTATAACTGTATATCCAAACAGATGAACTGTCTTAATTAGATCAAAACATCAGTTCTGACACACAATAGGCAGCCAATACCAAGGTGTAATAAACTCACATCATCAATGATAATTATCCTAACACTTCCCAGTTCAATTGCTGCAATAAATACATTTTTAGATGGTATATAAAAATACAGAAATACATTTGTGCTTTTGAATTTACTCAAAAAGAATTAAAAATCAACAAAGTAGAGTACTTTTATTTTGGTGCGTAGCTTTGGTGGCTGTGAAAAGCTCAGCTTGACGCAGCTGTGTAGCAGAAATGCCCAGCCTCCCCTGATTACGCACCAACCGGGGAGGAGGGGGCAGGCTGATGTCCTCTCTGGTGCGCTCATCCAACCTCTGCCGTTGTAAAGCTGCTGTTACCCTGCTGTAAGGATCCGCCGAGATAAAACTCCCCACTTATTTCCATCGAGATCGTCCAAGTTGATCATTTTCCGCTTTGGGGACACATTTCACACCCGTATTACGCATGGAATGGTTTTGGGGGGATTGGAGTAGAAATGCAGCGCCGCACGTCCAGCCCACAACAAGAACCATGCCCAACTTACATTGCAAGCAAATCTATGACATCCTGTTTTATCGTTTACGACTTTGATATGAGAGAAATCTGCTCGGATCTCGACGAAGAGTGAAAGAAAGGATCCCGGCGCGCCGGCTGAAGGACGCTGTTTTCCGCCGCAGAAGCTCCAGAAACCCAACGACACCCCCTCCCCTCAGCATTTAGGATTTTCCTCTTTTTGATGGAGCTGGAGAACATAGTAGCCAACACTGTACTACTTAAAGCCAGAGAGGGTAAGTTGAAGCCGTACAGAAGCTCTAGGTGCAAACAGCAGACAGGCCTATGCAGGCTTTGGGACATTTTGCGCTCAGTATGCAGAAAAGGTGGGAATGATCGCAGAGATGACGGCAGCCTGCGGATTGTAGGCTCAGGTAAACCCTTAGGATGCAGCAGAGAGAGAGGGGGGGTGCTTATGCAATGCATAACAGACAACATCAGCACACAGTCAGGATATGGTCCTCTTGAACCTCTAATCATGCTCAAGGATTGATTTTATTCCTCTTGATTTTGACAGATCTGGTGCGCCCCCTGCCCTCCCCCATTACCATATGTGAGGTGGGGTAGGGGTGTCTGCCTCCCACATCCGCTTTCTATGTCTGTGCAAATGAAAGCGCTCTTTCGCAACGCCTCTGAGCGATGAAGCACGTATTGAATCTGGGAAATAACTTCTTTCTGCATGGGGGGATACATGGCTGTAGGCTGGATGGTGATCTGATTGAAATCTATGCGAGGGGCCTGCAAGGATAGGCTCTGGCTGTCAGAGTGGAAATAGTCAAATATATGCAGCTTTAACAGGTCTGAGATGTTACCAGGGTCCTTTATGTCTTCTTTGGACAAGGCAGGCTTTATTCTAGACAGGGGGAGTGAATTCATCACCTTCTCTGTTGGAGGGATTTGCTTTTACACTTTTATTGTGCAGTGATCTAGCTGTTCACCTCCTCTATAGATGGCTGACATCAGCTTTAAAAACATGACTTCCCTCCTCTCTTCTTTACTGGGATGGATTTTACAATGAGATCACAAACATGGAAATATAAACCGAATATCTAAGATCTCAAAAGGCAGGTTGTCTATATATTTAGATATGTGATTACATTGGGTTTTTTTTTTTCTCAAAATGCTTCATTCATTTAAAATTAAACACCAACACATTCTTAAATCCAACCTAAAGAAATGTTTAATGGTGTAAATCTACTTCTGTTCAACAGGTCCGTAACTATTTTATATCAGAAGAGCGTCATGTTTTGAAAATTTACCTTAATGGGGAGAAATGTTAACACTTAAGACATGATCTGTGAGAGGAATAAAACGGATAGAGGTTTTTGGCGAAACTCTATTCAGTTTGTTTATATAGCAGAAATTCACAACACGTGTCATTTCAAGGCACTTTACAGAGACAATTTAATCAGATCATACAGTCAAACTGATTAAAAGTTTTCTATCTTCTATCTCTATCACACTAAGAAGGCAAGAAGAAGGAACTATTTAGCCTTTGGCTCGAAACCGCCACTCAGCTTCAATGCATCAGCCCTACAGTGGAACACGGTGGTGCCAGCATCATGATAGGGGGAATGCTTTTTTAGCAGCAAAGGCAGTGGAGTTGATCAGATTTGATGTCACCTTTGATTGAGGTAAATAGAAAGCCATATTGGAGAAAAAACTTGAGGTTCATTTTCCAGCAGGACAGCTACCCCCACACATATGGAGCTATAGTAGATCCATTTAGTTCAATTCAATAACACTTCATGGTTCCCAAAAGGGAAATGAAATAAAATGTAAGCATTAATGTATGTTAGAAAGGGGAGTGGCGGCTTAGTGGTTAGGGCATGGAATCAAGAGGTTCTGAGTAGGGATGCACAATATAATCGGCCCCCTATCGGTATCGGCCTTTAATGTCTAAAAAATAAAATAAAAAATACTACTTCTTCCTCAAAAACGAGGGAAAAAATATTGATACATTAAAATATCACAATATCTTCATATGCTGATATATTGCCATTAAAAAACACCACATCAATCTCTTTTACTAATGAATTATTGCTATATGTCATCGTTATGCTACGAAATCCCCCAAAAATTCACGAAATTTTGCCATATTTTTATATGTTGATATATTGACGCGGTATCGATCTATTTTACTAACAAAATCTCACAAGAATTTGCAAAATATCCCAAGAGTTTGTAACAGAACGATGAAATTTCACGAGATTTTGAAAGTAAAATAGATCGATACCGCGTTTTTAAAAATCTATTTGATATCAGCATATGAAAATATATTTGAGTATATTATTTTTCAAAGTGTCAGAAATGGATAACAAAACTGCTATTTTCAATGACTACTTATTTTTGTCCAGCTTTAACATCGGTATCGATATCGGTTATCGGCTACATGAGTTTTAAAATATCGGCATATCGGATATTGGCCAAAATTCCAATATCGTGCATCCCTAGTTCTGAGTTTAAGCCCCACACCCACGGACTGCCACTCTGGGTCCCTGAGCAAGACCCTTAACCCCACACTGCTCCTTGGGCACCGCACAATGGCAGCCCACCGCTCCCCAAGGGGATGGGTTAAATGTAGAGAGTTCATTTCGTTGCTCTGTCCTAGTCACAGTGAGATGACAATAAATAGCTTAAAGGTATAGAAATCATTAGTAAAACTTTGGTAAGGCTTTAAGAGGTCGGTTTTCACTGATGCCAGTTGTGCAAACCGGCTATAGACCCTTATTATAAAAGTTGTATTTTTCTTCTAACCTTTAGTTATAATAAGACACTTGAGAGGAACAATATTTATAAATTGTGATATTTGCTTCTGGAGGCTGAAACCAACTTATGGGCTTAGAACCTTCTGAAAACATCTGGGAATGACCATGGCTTTTCCAAAGAAGCGTTTTAAATTCGACTCTGCTGAATGGATCACTCATAACAAGTATGTTGAGGCAAAGCAAGTAATGGGTGCAGCCTATTCTTTGCCCAAACGATGAATGGGCCATTCAATTTGTTATCTGAACATAATTTGAATGAAATGTTTGCTCTGTTTTGGAGCCACATGTTGCTATTTAAATTTCTCATGGCCGTCCTTACTTGTTTTCTGAAGAACAGGGTTAAACAAATTTTTCATGTGGTGTAACATCATTTAGTTCACCGGCCCAAGAGTCTTTTCTGAGTCAAACCCACAAAATTAGTATGATTCTTAAAGGGAGATTTCTGCGATAGACCGGCACAAAGTATTTGTGAAACGGTGAGAAAAGATAAACCGGTTGAGTGCATTTTTTATTTAGGTCAAATGCATCAATGCTGCAAAAGCACACTTTGAAGTTAAGTTTTAGATTTTTACACATCCAGACGATGTAACTAGGGCTGCAACTAAAATTATTTTGCAAATCAATGAATCTGTTGATAATTTTTTTTCGATTAATCAATTAATAATCTGATAGCCAAAGATTCCTTAAAGAAGGATTTAAAAAAATTAAACCAGGTAAAACTTTTCCAAATTTGGAGTTCTGGATAGAGCATATAGACAGGCGACATTTTTTTTAATTTTTTATCTTAAATGAAAAATGTTTATGTAATTTTTGCAATCTTGGTGAAATTACTGCAATAAGTGGGTTGCTCTGTCAGCTAAAGGCATGTTTTAGACTCTTTATAGTTCAGCTAGCTAACAATTAAATGATTAATAAATTCATTTTGCGATTGTTTGAATAATGGATGATCTTATATAATCAGGTTTATCAGAACATTAGCCTTTAAGTAGTTCCATCCATTGTTCCAACACCTCTTATCTGGTATCTTGTTCTTACCTGACCCTGTTGAAGAAAAGCTTCCCCACAGCATCCTGCTAACATCACAAGGTCACACCATCTGTACGATGAGGTGTGCTAAATCTCCACAGCACACGGCTTTTTCCAACCTATAATATAATTTATTTTTAGGGTTCCACATCAAAGGCAGCAAAATTTAAACACACAAACTTAACATATTTGTATATGTAAATATTGGGTGAGATCCCGACCACATCGTCTTAGTCTTTCTTAAATTTAGATACTTTAGAGTGTGTGGTTATAAGTTGATGATGTAATCTGAAGTGAGAGCATCAGTGCTTCTCTTGATAAGAACCTGCAGGCTGCTCACAGTTTCATTTGACAGTGGTCTCAGTTTAGCCACTCAGTGAGACGGGAGCACTTTTTCTCACCTAGAGTTAGGACTTTTCTTACTTTCAGGTAATGGTATTCTTCGCAGAGATGGCGCAGAGTGTTGTGGAAGTTTTGAAGGAATTGCAAAACAAATGACATGTTGTCAGAGGCACATTTGGGTATGCTCATTTTATGTCAGCGAAGCACAACTGGGCCGGGCGAATCAGGCTTCATGAATTAATGAGAGCAGTTAATGACCCATAGCAGATCTCGCTTGTCCCAGCTGCGCTGTCAGGGTTCACTCCGTCTGCATTCTCGCTGAGAGGAAAAAAAAAGCAACCTCTGTGAGGCAATATTTGAAGTTTCTGAGCCGCTTTTTTTATCAACGTCTCTAGAAATTCTTTTTGGTAAGACTGCTTCAACTGATTTACAGCCGCCCCTGCCTCACTAAAACATGTCGCAGGTTGTTGCGAGTCCATTACTGGCCGGATGGTTTATCAGTGAGAATCATTAGAGGTTTTGTATTACACGACCCAGAGCCAGTGCTCTGCAGATCCTCTGTGTGCTCAGAGCATCTCTTCGTGTGAAAGCATGACAGAGCACACAGGTTCATCGCCGGATCAACGACCTAGAACAGGCCGGAGAATGCAAATGGAGCAAATAGACGCTGTTTATTCTTGTTTGTTTATGCAAGATCATCTCAAGCTGGAGCTGAAGGGAGAGGCAAGCTTTTCCTTTCCCAAAAGCCCCCAGCTACGAACAACAGGAAGGCCCAGTTTACACTGCAGCCTGAGCTTGTTTATGCCAGCATCCTCACACATCCCCAATCAGTAAAACAGTGTGAGTGACAGCTATGCACATAATTAAAAAGCTACTGATATAACCAGCAGAACAGGCGTTCTGTCAAATAATTGATGCTTCTCAGATCTGCAGTACTGTGAAAAGATACCACCCCCCCTTTTTATCACATTTGAATGTCTCAGATCATGAAGCAGTTATTCACATCAGACAAAGAAAACTTAAATGAATGTGAAAAGCAGTGTTCAAATGCTGATTTTGTGTAACCTGGCACTATGTGAAGCTATAATCGCCATCATTGT